CATTCACCGAATTTTTATTCTAAAGAGCTCAGTGTCGTGATGAAATTGTTGAACTAGAACCTCTTCGGACCTTTACGAGTGGAAACATCACAAGGAGTTTAAAGCACGAGTAACTGCAATATGCAAATCTGCTTTTGGTGCCTGTCGAAATTTGTTTTTTCCAGTCTTTCAGCTAGCCAAGAAGCCGTCAATTTAACTATACATATATATCATTATACTTGGACTTTGAAGAATTTCATGTTGCACTTACACTTCTTGATGCAGCAAGTAACTTCACCTAATTCGATATCAAACTCATGTCTTGCACTGCAAGATTAGTGTGATTTTCCTTTTCATCTTTCATGTGTCAAAAGTATTCTGTTCGCTTAAAAATGAAATCAGTTGACAATTTTTTATCTCTAATAGCTTCTACTTTTAGACACTAGGTAGTGCTGTAGTATTGCATTTTACTAGCCATTGACTGTTAAAAAGCATTTAAGATGGTGTGTAAACCTAATACTGACATTTTTATGCTTATTACCTTCTTATTGTATGTGTATGTAATGCAGTCTCCAACAAGCAGATATTTTGCAAGCATTAGCTGTGGATCCGGCGCTACAATTTTTGGTTCCGTTTACAAGTGCAACACCATGCTTTAGTACACTTCTTGGATCAGTTATTTTTGGTAATGAATTCTGCAGATTCATGTAAATCAGTTGAAACTTCTTTTTGCATTTAGGTCACAAGTCTTTCTGAAGTATTGGAATCTGACTCTAGTGGAACAGGTAAACAGTTAACTTAGCAATGGACCCTTTACCCCTTTTTTGTCATTTATTTTGTGGGGGATAGGCATAGATGCTTGGTAGATGATTTTGTGATTGTTTTTAATTCAAAAGGAATCAAGCATTGTAAATCTACTATATGTGATATAGCTGACTCAAGTCATATGAAACAACAAGGACAGGGAAAATATTTTATAACAAGTTTGGGTTTTTTTTTGGGAAAGAAAGTTACACATGCATTGATCAAGTTCCAATGTCTGTTATTTTGTGTGTTTTACATGTCAAAGTTTTATGCATTATGTCTTGTTTTACAATTGGAGAAATTGAGTTTTATCTTCTTCTTTTTTTCATACTCTGCTGATAAGTCCTTTATGTAGGCAGTCAGAAAAATTAGAAGTAGAACTATCAGAGGGTTTTAAACTCTCTTGATAACCATCTCTCGACTTTAGTTTCATAAGTGGACTTTGAAGAACGTAGAATGTATGCAATTTTTATGCTTATTTTTACAGAGTAAAGAGTAAAGAGACTGTTTTCGATAGATTTTCTTCGTATCAAAGGAGGAAAAGCATAAAGAAATGGAAAAAGAATAATTGCTCCAAAAAGCATTTCTTTTCCATCTTGACTTATAAATGTTGTTGTGGAGGGTTGTTATTATACCCTTTGGATAAAAGTGTCTTTTTATTCCAATAAAAAGCCACTTATAAGACTTGGTTCTGTCCCCATAGAGAAAAACCAAACAAGGGGCAGAGAACAACTGCAAAAAATTCTCAGATATGCACATTTATTAAATGACACAGCATTTAAAATAATCTAACAAGAATATGCCAATTCAGAGAACTTTTTTAAAAATAATAATAATGTAGGTCAAACTGTAGCACTTGATATTCTAATAAATTTATGTTTCTTTATGTCCTTATCAAACAGCAATTACAATGCACTGAATCCAGTACTGCTTTTTTTTTTTTTATTATGCTCATTATAAAAAGAATAAGACTATTTTAATTGATACATTAGACTAATAATTCTAATAATAATAATAATAATAATGTGTAATGATGCAATCTCTTTACTAAATTTACTCAACTAAACACATGGTGTGCCCCTCACTCTTCAAGAATTGAAACTTGTGGGTAAGTTTTGACAGTGAGGGGTTATCTTTGTCAAAGGCCCACTTAGAGCAGTACTAAATATAAATTCAAAAAAGATACTTATTTGGACATCGTTATTTAATTTATGTGTTTGAAATTATATATGGTTGAAGTTCAGATGTTTAGTCTTGACGACTTCATAATACTAAGTGTACTTTTTTTTAAGTGGTGATGTGCGTAATGATATTTACTTGTTTGTGATAAAAGGTACGTTAACATCTTCATGAGAATAAAAAATAAAAAAGCTCTGAGGATTGGGGCAAACGGCTAGTGATAGACTGCTCGAATTGTTTCCTCAGGGCAAACGACTAGTGGACAACTGTTCGAGTTGTTTTGAGGTGAAAGTGAGTCATCGTTTATCGATCAGGGGATGAACGAGTGTTTCATCAGGTCCTCGACGGCTGATTCTGAGGTTAAAGTGAGTCGTTATTTATCAATCAAGGGATGAACGAGTGTTTCATTCATTGGGCCCTTGACGGCTGACAAGATAGGTGGGGAATCACTCTGGATCTTCTTTTTTTTTGGGCTACAACTTTACCGAGCCGACTAGCATTCCTTTCCACTATGCATTTTTTCGAACAAAGAAGACGATTATCAGATCGAAACTGCTCGTCTCATACTTCTGTCTATCTCATATGTGCGGAACCTAATCTTTTTCGATTCCAGTCTCTCCGTCGAATAAGATTTTTTTCTTTGGAGGTCGTCTTTGGGCATTAAACAATAACTCAAAACTGATACAAACAAGAAAAAATCAATTATTTAATCAAACAAAGAATTGTAATATTTCTTTTCAATAATCATATAATAATATTTCTTTCAAATAATTATAGACAAAGAGAATAATTTTGACGGTCTTAAAATAGCTAAATGGCTTATCATCTAATTAGCGACGCACAATAGATACAAACATTTCAAGGTGAAAGACAATTTCCCAAGTCCTTACAAATAATTAATGAGTTGTTTGATGGAATATTATCTTATCACAATCATATATTAAAATAATCAATACCCAAATACCTTACAAATAATTGTTGGGGATATTTAAGGTATTAACTTTTCCGTACATATTAAACATTGTTAAAAAAATAATTACTAGAAGATTTTATATTTATTTATATCATGTTAGAAGTCAATAGCATGTTAGGTGCTCAATTATTTATTACAAAAATATGCTATCTTTTCTCTTTTGGTATAATATAATTTATGACACAAAATAAAATTAAAAAATGTTACTTAAACTTTATAGTTGGGAGAATTTATCTATTTTTACGAGTTAACCATAGTTGAATAGCAAAAGTATAAATGACATCAAGTAGCTATACTTATAGAACTCATATTTAAAACATATTTTAAAATTTAATCAATTTTGACAAGCTTCAAACTGAACCTATTGCATTTTCTTGGCTTTACCACAATTCAATTTTAGTTTAGACAGTAAAAATTTAAAAAAACTTTAAATTTGTATATCTGAAGTAAATTCTGGAATGATTAAATTTTAAATATTTAATAAAGGTTTTAAAATTAACTAGTGCAACTTCACTTTGAATTTATAACAATATACTCATGTTTCTGTTAGTTTAGTTAGGTTTTAGAATTATTTAATCTGATTTTTGTATCGGATAAATCACTTATAGCTTGTTTAGACAAGCTTTTGAAAGGCCAAAAAATATTTATTTTAGAAAAAACAAGATATTTGATCAAATTTTGATGAGAAAAGTAATATTTCAGGAGAGTAATAAAAATTACTTTTCAAAAACTAAAGAAAATAATATTTCTTCGTACTTCTTTTTAAATCAAATTTAGAAGTTTGATCAACCACCGAAAAAAAAATCTTTGATTAAAATCAAAGGATCATAATCTACCTACCAATGTAGTCACTCATATTATGTTAGAATTTGGTATGGTCAATACTCAACACCTATTAAATGAAAATTTTGCATCGTTACCAACCACCATTTCCCCATTTCTATTCCAATTTATTTCACATTCAAATCTCATGTAATAAGATTTGGAAAAAGTAAAACATATGCAACTTTTATTCCTATTTTATAGTTGGAATTAAGAGATTCTTTTTGATAATTTCTCAGCTCAATTTTACAATCAAATTATACAAGTAAAGATATTGTTTCATCCTTCGTAATTCATATATATATATATATATATATATATTTAATATATATGTAAAAATAGGTCTTTTTTAAAAAAAATTAAAATTGATTATAATTTATAGACACAAATAATTAACTTTAGAGCTCAAAATTTTAAAATCTACATTTATTTCTTAAAATTGTGTTTATAGTCCAACACTCCCACATAAAATTGAGATAGAAGGAGTAGGTGACTTTCCATATTTGTTAAAGTGCACTTAAATGTGTTTTCTAGTGGTCAATAATGTGGGTCGAACATCATGACGTTTTAAATTTAATTCTCAACAAAGAAAATAATGCTTAATAGAGTGTATTAATAATACTTCCATTAGTAATGTTTGTATTAGTTATGTTTGTATTAGTTATGCATATATTATTTCTTATGCATTGTTTGGTTTTGTGCATTAAAATAGTATGAATTGTATAAAAATATTTATTTACAAAAGTATCCTTCACAATTATGGTGGAAAAGATGTAAAAGTACTTTGGATGGGTAATTGTGTCTTTAACCATACTAATGCATGTACTAAATCCCTTTACATTATTAATACCTAGAAATTCATGGTATTAGTAATACACTCCTCAATCCACAATAGAGAGTGTAACTAATGCAAACATTAATTATACATAACATGGAAAAGTGTACCAAATAATGTATTACTAATACACAAAGCTAATGCATGCATTATTTTAGCTAATACACTCTACCAAACGACCCCTTTTAAGTGATTTCTTTTCATTTGTTATATTCAGATGGACAAAAGTATCTGATACTTGTTATTAATGGGAGATAAGAGATATTCATGAAAAGTAATCGAAATGCACAAATTGATCCGAACACTATGATTATAAAAAAACTAAGATATTTATTTAAGTCTTGAGTGAAATATTTGAAAAGAACAAGGTTTTAGAATAAAAGAAAAAAAAAGCATGATAGTGTAATTGAAATATCATCATAGGGCAGGCGTTATAATAGAGGAACCAGAAAAAAGACCCCACCTTCCATCAAACTCTTCTATACGTATATACTTTTTGCCAGCCACCCTAGTTTTCTACTATTCCAACATACACTTTCTTCCATAAATCCTTGTTTTTGTACTTAAAAACTTTTTTGTGGATCATCACATCACATGGTCGATCTTGTTTTATACTGAGATTTGAATACCCTTTCTGTGTTTATCAGACAATTAGATCTCCTTCTCACTCACACGGAGTGCACATGGTTTTTCAGGCTCTTTCTAAGTAGACAGAGCCGTGAAGAGAGCCCTTTTTTCTATAAAATCTTGATCTGGGGTTTTGCTGGTATTATATTATTTTCTGATCTTTATTATAAAAAAGTTTTAATTTTTAGTCAAAACCCATCTGAATTTTCGCTTGCCAGCTCAAAGGATTTTGAACCATGATCTCTACAGTGAAGCAATCGGCTTTTACAATCAATGGGTGTGATTTTATTCGGTCAAAGTCTCAATCTTTGGCTTCTTCACGCCGTATCTCTGTACTTCCGCCATTACCGGCGATGAAGTCTCGCCGGAGCTCCGGTGTATCTATTTCTAAGCCTGTTTTTGTTTCTTCTGTTGAGAGTTTTGGGGGTTTGAAGAGATCTAATGAGAAAACTGATAGCGGTTTGGTTAAGTGTAAGGCTTATGAAGCGGATCGGGCTGAACCGATTGAAGGACCTGAATCGAAAACGGAGGTGGCAAGGAAGATGAAGATCGGTGTTTATTTTGCTACTTGGTGGTTTTTGAATGTGATTTTTAATATTTATAATAAGAAAGTGTTGAATGCTTTTCCATTCCCTTGGTTAACATCAACTTTGTCACTTGCTGCTGGTTCACTTATTATGTTGATTTCTTGGGCTCTAAGAATTGCAGAAGCTCCTAAAACTGATCTTGAGTTCTGGAAAACTCTATTCCCGGTAAGGAAAATTGTGTTTTTTGGATACCCAATTGTGTAAAGACAACAACTTTATGATTATTTCTTGTTTTGATGATATTTGTGGACATAATTTTGATGTTTAATGCCTTGTTATTAGGTTGGTTGTGGTTCTTGTGATCTGTTTTGTAGTGTTTGGTTCTCTAGGGATCTAGAGTATGGTTATTGTGATAGTGAAATTTTTACCTGCCGTAGATCTTGGGTTTAGTTTTTTAGGGGCTCTGTGGTTTTGGCTTAATTAAGATATATTTGCCAACATAGTACCTAAATTTGATTTTGATTTTGATTTTGTTTGGATTTAATGTTGAGAGAAATGTTTTCTGGGTTTGGTGACAGAGAATACAAAACAACAAAAGGTGTTGGTTTTGAAGTACACAACAATTGTTTTATGAAAATGAAGTTTTGTTTTCTTGTGGATGTAAACCATAAGAGACCTTCAATCCTAAGTGATTTAGTTTCTCCTTTGTTTTGGTGAACATGCACACAGACAGGCTTGGATACTGTCATTATCTGAGAAAAGTTTTGTATTTTTGTGGATGAAAACCGTAAGAGACCTTCAATGTTAAGTGATTTGTTTTCTCCTTCGTTTCGGTGGTCAGAGTTATTTGATACATGTATTAGTGTGAGATAGCACGTAGATGTGCACACAGACTAGATTGGATACTATCATTATCTGAAAAAAGTTTGTATTTTTGTGGATGGAAATGATAAGAGACCTTCATGTTTAGTGATTTCTTTTCTTCGTTTTGGTGGTCAAAGTTATTTGATACATGTACTAGTGTGAGATAGCGGGTAGACGTGCACACAGTCTAGCTTGGAACTATCATTATCTGAAAAAAGTGTTTTTTTTAGTGCCGAACAGAGTCTTAATCACTCTTTGTTTTCTTCCTGTTTTCTATTCTAGGTTGCCGTTGCACATACAATTGGGCATGTGGCAGCTACAGTGAGCATGTCAAAGGTGGCAGTTTCATTCACTCACATCATCAAGAGTGGTGAACCTGCTTTTAGTGTTTTGGTTTCAAGGTTCCTCTTGGGAGAGTCATTCCCTACCGCCGTTTACTTATCTCTTATCCCCATCATCGGTGGTTGTGGTCTTTCTGCTCTTACAGAGTTGAACTTCAACTGGATTGGTAATTAGTTAACTTTTACTAGTTGTTAAGACTTAAGTTCCCCCATCATTTGTGTTGATTCTCTTGCCTGCCTCATGGTAAAACATTTTTCAATGTCAATATACTTGTATACACAGAATTCTATGGAAATTTGATGGCAAATCTTTGGTAGCATAAGAGAATAATACTCCTAGCTGTAACAGCTGTAATATTAGACTGTATTTGGTATGATATGCTATGTTGCTCGGACTCTTCAAAAATACCCACGGGTGCGTGTCGGATTCGCCAAAAGTAGTGTATTTTTGGTGAATCCAACACGGGTGCGGCATCAAAAGTGAAGAGTCCGCGCAACTAAGATGATATGATCTTTTTTCAAAATTTCCATGAAAAGAAAACATTTTTTGGTAACCAAATACCACAATTTGACTTATTCCAGGAAATGACCCTTTCTCTCAGGTAATTCAGACTTCTCGAGTTTGGTAATTCTTCAATTAATGGAAGGATCGTTATGTGATGCATTCAATCATTTTGTATTTCTAAGAGACCTTCCTTATGGATGAAATTGTATCTGAGTTTTTACTAGGCTGGCCTGTTTTTTGTTTAATAAGGGGGTAGTGGCCTTGACATTTAGTGATGTCTTTGACAATTTAGTTGGTTTTGAGTGTTGAACACAATTTTTCTTATGAATTTGTTTGCTGATGATTTTATCTGTTTTTGTTGGTTTGTCCACGTTAGGTTTCTCGGGGGCTATGATCTCGAATGTGGCATTTGTCTTCAGAAATATATTCTCCAAGAAGGGTATGAAGGGGAAGTCTGTTAGTGGGATGAACTACTATGCTTGCTTGTCTATGCTGTCTTTGTTGATTCTCACACCATTTGCCATTGCTGTTGAGGGACCACAAATGTGGGCTCTAGGATTTGAAAAGGCTGTATCTCAAATTGGTCCCCAGATCGTCTGGTAATCACATGACTGCCATCCATCCTATCTGTTTTTACATTTTGTGTCATCAGCACTTTGCCATAAATGGCTCCGGTTAAATAATACTCCCTTCCTTACACTTTATGTGGCAAGGTTCAGAGTACGAGGGTTAAAGTATTCAATTATTTAAGCTTTTGGAAATAAAATTTACATATTTGGAAACTACATAAAAATTACTACTTTATATGTCATACTAGGTGATAAATCAAAATATTTAAGAAAGGTGTGGTCATGGAAGAACCTATTTAATTCCACAAATACTAATATCGTCACTTAAATTGAAACAAAGAGTGTACTACATTTGACTACAGTAGTTTTAATCATTTTAGAGATTTATATGTCAATTGAAAATGTAGAGAACTTTTAGTGCTAAAGAAAACTAGGTTTATCAATATTATGGAACATGCTTAAATAGAGCGACAAGGTCTTTCTTGAGATTGAGATATTTGTCATCGTTATTGATTCCCGTAAGTTGTTGTGTGTAAGAGCAGTACATATTTCACTTCATCTGAATTTTACTACACTTAACTGTAGCTTAGCTTTCCCTCTTCTCAATCTATGTGAGTGAGTGAATTGGTATTAAGAATGTGAGGAGGAAGGATTTTGTGAAATCAGTTGCATCACATACTTAATTTAGGTTTGGTGTTGACTGGTGTTTAATGTGGTGAATGTTTATTGATAACAGGTGGATGGCTGCCCAGAGTGTATTTTATCACCTCTACAATCAAGTTTCATACATGTCTTTGGATGAGATCTCTCCTCTGACATTTAGTATTGGAAACACCATGAAACGTATATCAGTAATTGTCTCTTCCATCATTATCTTCCGTACACCCGTCCAGCCAGTCAACGCTCTTGGAGCTGCCATTGCAATTCTTGGAACTTTCTTGTACTCACAGGTGATAATTTCATTTTTTGCCTTTCTGTATCAGATGTGATTGATTGTTCTTTCCTTGATATAAATTTTTGAAGTCTATAGCTTTTTCCACTTGAACGGCAAGCAAACTAGAATGAGAGATAGCTACTTTCCCTTCCTTTGCACAACAATCTTCACTGGGATCTTTTTAGTTCCTCTCTATATGTGTGTGCATCTTTCCTTCCCTTTCTTCTTTTGGGTTAGCACATCATAATTGTACTATTTGTTATTCGAAACTTAGAAACCGTCTTTTTCTCAACGAAGGCAAATCATTTAGTGCTAAAATGAATAGAGTGGCGATTGGAGGGACGTAAATTACCATATCGAAAAATACTTGATGCCAAGTGTGTTTCCATCAAAATATTGGAATGAAATGAGTTCATACGGAGGTGATAATTCATATAACCGACTCCAACTAGCTTGGGGTTTGGGATTGAGGTGTTTTTTTGTTATCACTGTTGGTGTGCAATAAACCATGGTTCTGCATTTTCTTGTATCACCAATCTTTCAAAACGGATCCCTCTTCGATAATGCTCGTGATTTGCTGCTCTTTCTCTGGTTTTCCTGTATTTTTTTGCGCTAGTTTCATTTTTTCGTCATTTTCATTGCTTGTCCTCTACTAACTTAAAACTCTTTGAATGTTATGCAGGCAAAACAATGAAGAGTGGAATTTGCATACTGCATTAGGGATAAAAGACGTTGAAGAGAACCTTGAGGTGTTGCGATAACGTCTCTCAGGATCCTCGGTCTACCCTCACTTTGGGTTGAGCATGGAACTTATGAGTATGTAGATAGCAATAATGAGTTAGAATTAACTCAAATCCTATAGAGTTACTAAGGCTGGTTTCCCTGTTTTGTTATTATTCGTAGAGACATCAACAAGTGTACTAATAAACTGAATACTTGGTTGAGAGTGGTATAAATTAGTTTATTTAAGCATAAACCTTGCAGAATTTGGCTCAAATAAACAGCATGATTGCCTTAACTAGCACTCCATGTTTGACATAGATTGATCAGACACCGATTAAGGTGAAATTTGGCTCATGAACATATCGAAGAATCTGAACAAAACACATACTTCCTGGTGGAAACACCACTAGTAGAAAGTTAGAAACCAAGTGACGAGAAGTATATATGGACCTTTTAACAATCAAGAGAATTGGGTTCTGGGTTCATGAATCAACAGCTCTATCAACAAAATTTTCGACAACAATCTTATTTAACTTACAAAATTTGTTGTGCCATAAAACAGAAAATACTCTTTTAAGTTACCTTTAAAGTACAAAGAACTCTTTGGGATAAGTATTACCAACTTCTCCATCAAACCTTCAAATATTTAATAGCAGTCTGAACATCTTTATCTCCTCTACCACTGCAGTTAAGCACGACCTTAGTTCCATTCGGTAAAGTTGGACACAACTTCTCTAAGTAGGCCAGAGCATGAGATGTTTCTAGAGCGGGGATGATACCCTCTAACCGAGATAACCTTTTGAAGGCTGAAAACATGAGGCATAAGTGAAAGATGAATGGGTTTGTAAGATACATCAAAAGTGAAAGCCGGTTACCAAACGAGAAAATAATAACTTCAACGAGGAACAAAATCATATGTAAAGCTTAGAACAAAGAACAAGTGAAATCATTTATCACCTTCCAAAGCCTCCTCATCTGTGATGCTATAATATTCTGCTCTCCCCAGATCTTTCAAAAAGCTGTGTTCTGGCCCAACTCCAGGGTAATCCAATCTAATAATCCGTCAGGGGAATAAACCAGTTAGAACTTGGAAGATGTAAAGATTTGATTTTGGGCGAATATACTTATTTTGGTAGCGTCAAGTGTACACACTCAGGATTTTGTAAATGAAATATGAGCACTTTGATAACGAGAAAAGTTCAAGTTATTACCCAGCACTGATAGAATGAGGCTCAACTATCTGCCCATCTTCATCTTGCAGTAAATAGCTCATAGCTCCATGTAATACTCCTACCTCTCCCTTTGTTAAAGTAGCAGCATGTTTACCACTATCTAGACCAAAACCTGCTGCTTCAACCCCAATCAACCTCACATCTTTGTCATCAACAAACTCATGAAAGAGTCCCATAGCATTTGAACCTCCACCAACACATGCAACAAGCACGTCTGGTTTCCCGCCCCACTTTTCCAATGATTGCTTCCTTGTTTCTTTACCAATCACTGCATGGAAGTCCCTAACCATCATGGGGTAAGGGTGTGGTCCTGCAACAGATCCAAGTATGTAGTGAGTTGTTTCAACATTTGTAACCCAATCCCTTATAGCTTCTGAAGTAGCATCCTTGAGCGTAGCAGTTCCAGAGTGGACTGCTCTAACCTGCAATGTTAATTTTGGGAGATGTAATTAAATAGAGTGATTCGAATGCAATGGAAAGATCTCTTACAAAGTATAAGATAAAATTATGTAATCTATCCCAAGAATAAAGAGGGAAAAAGGATGAAGCTTAACCATTTACATTTTCAGGGACGTATAACAGAAGAAAGGCGATGGTTCAGCGAACCACAGTCCTCAAGCCCTAAATAGAATTCTAAATGGTCTTCAGATCAAAATAGCGGCAGGGTAATTTAAAAAAAAAAAAAGAGATGAATATAGAGGCAGTGTAGGTAATGCAAAACAAGGAAATTTCCCGGCAATTTCTCACTTTGCAAATATTTGACTGATTCATGGATTTTAATAAGATTACCCCTCCCCGTCTGTATACATCTTATCCTACTCCCTAAGTTCATGGATATCATTATTCATATCACATTCTGTTCTCCCCATTTACCAATATTTTGCTCTCAACCTTTTGTTCATGTACCTATGGACCACACTTATTAATCATTCCTGCAATTGAGAATTTATGAATGCGAGAAAAACACAGTACATTTACAGTGAAATTCATCTGCGGAACGTAGGGAAGAAACCACAGGATTTTATTGAACAAGTTAGTGTCATTGCAGATGACCAAGTCAGTTATTAGAAGGTGCAGAAATTTCAGTGAAACCACAAATTTAATCAGTGAATCTTTAATCAATTTTTAATCTCCCCTCAAGTAAGCTATGACCAGAGCCGTCAATTTATAATGTATGATACAGACCTCAGCTCCAAGCAGTCGCATTCTGAAGACATTCAATGCTTGCCTCTCCATATCTTGAGCACCCATATAAATAACACAGTCCAAACCGAACCGAGCACAAACAGTTGCAGTGGCAACACCATGCTGACCGGCCCCTGTCTCGGCAATAATGCGTTTCTTCCCCAAGCGCTTGGCAAGCAAAGCTTGCGCAACAGCATTATTTATTTTGTGGGCACCAGTGTGGTTTAAATCTTCTCTCTTCAGGTAGATCATTGACCCTTCACCATCTGGACGTTTATAATGCTCAGTAAGTCGCTCAGCAAAATAAAGAGGGCTCTCTCTGCCAACATAATCTCTTAATATCCCATCTAGTTCCTTCTGCAGTCAGCATAAATGATGTACAAACAAGTTAGAAGTTTTATAGGGGCCAACAAGTCTTCACAATGCAATACAATTGAAATCATCAATCCATCAACGATGCCTCAATTCTGTAACAGTTTGGAATCAAGCTTCTGAATCATCTATATGCCTTTCTATCTATTCAAGTCCATTTCATTCAAAGACTACATAATTTCTCGTATAAGGAAATTACTAAGATCAGGAGTCCGTTAAGAGAATTTCTTCTTGATAAGACAACATAATTTTATTGATGTAGCAGAAAACCTTATTTACACGTGATATACCAAAAATCAGAGATCAAGCAAGGGGTTATGAGCATAAAGCTCATAAATCATAACTCTTTATATCAGAAGAAACACTTCAATTGTGCTAAATTTCCAACAAAATTGTAGCTCCTGCACTTTCCAAAGAAGTTATGCTTGAGGCAGATACTACGATTCACTTAAAACACACACAAAAATATTTGCAGTTTAAGCTAACTGACTTAACTATTTTTAACATGTTAACAAACAGAGACTTCGAAGATCAAGAAACTAGTTTCATCATTTCATGATTGAATAACAAAAAGAAAAGCTTTTTTGGTTAGTTTCACGCTTCATATTTCGAAGGATAAAAGAAAATACTTGCAAAGTAAAGCCTGAGGTAATGTCCAATCAATCAGATCCGCTCTTATTACAGAATGGTGAATGCATGTCAAAAAACAATAATATCAACTAATCTCAAATCCTAAAGTTAGCATAGCAAGCAAAAAAGGATTCCGGATTTAAAGTTTTCGAGTTTCTATAACAATTTCAAGTTGTTATACAATAATAACTGGATTCACAACGAAGTATTTAATAAATTTCTTAATATATGTGCTAGATCCTTCAATGTAGTTTAGCTAAACCATATGAATGTTTCATATATCCATTTCATTCAAATAATCGAAGAAATGAAACAAAATCACCAATCCGAGAATGCAGTTAATCAAACACCTGAAAATCTTGGTCTGTGGCGAGCGAATTGAAGGCGGTTTCGAGCTCATCGAGAGCATGCATTAGAGTTTCCGGTACATACTTACCACCGAACTTTCCAAACCGGCCAAATGAATCGGGTCGTTGAATGGCGGCGGCATCCATTGATTTTCCGGTGAGGACACAAGCTATGGCTGGTGGATTGGTGGGTGAAGACGTAATTTTGATGAATTTGAAGGGTATTTGCGATTGAGATGAGGAGGAGAAACGGTGAGGCTTCGGTAGCGGTAGAGCTATTTGGCTCGGTGAGGAGAAGGCCATGTTTGGATGATTTATGAAAATAAAGCAAATCTAGAATCTTTGTTTTTTTATGACACTATAAGAGGTCAGTGGGACCCAATTAAAATGACGTGGATTATTTTGCCATTTTTAGAAGAAAAAAAATTGGTTGAAAAGATGGGTGTTCGATTCTTCGATTTGATTCTTTTATTTATATATAACATAAAAATCTAATTTCGAGAAAGAAAAAATCAATAGTTATAATGAACTATTGTTATAAAGAGGTATGATTGTCGCACTAAACTTTTCTTCATATATTCTATTAGTATTACCAAATACAAGAGCCCTTTAATATGGAAAGGTAAAATATCGTGGAAACTTTGCTGAATTTATCATCAACCTTGATTTCGCTATACGCTAAGGTGAAAAGGAAATACAAATATTACATGTTAATGAATTCACTACTCCCTCCTTTTATATACAAAACATAACGTAACAGTAGTAGTAGGATTTAGGAAGAACTAGAAGTCAATAATTGGTTCACCAATAGTAAGATTCCTCTTGACAGACCAAGGCAAGTTAAAGAGCTTTGCCATTATGAACTTAAAGATCTTATTCACATTGATGTTATGCGTTGAACTTGAGAAGAAAAGTGTTGCTTTCATTGCCTTTGCATATGTCCTTGCCTGCAAAACACCAATGGGCCACATACTTATTATATCAGTACAATACGAGATGACGGAATGCAATGGAATGAGTCAGTATGTTCAGAACAAGTGTTGTCTTATTATACGTATATATAGTTCGAGCTGAATTGATAGGGTCAGTTGAACTAATAGAACGTGCTCTAGATTCTAATTTCGTTATATCTTACCTACTACTTTTGTTTTCTTGGTTTGTTGGGGGTGGGTGGACTCTGTGGTAGGGGACTGGAGGATGACAATAACTAACCCAAAAGACTAGTTCCTTTCATCTTCTTAGTATTTATAAACAAAATTAAATTTTTCATATTCTTGTGAAAACGAAGTTTGCAACTAAAGCAGGAAAATTCGGTTGATAATGCAAATACCACCCCAATATATGTGGGGGTCACCCGTCTTCATTTATGGAGAAACGAACATTTGAGGAACTTGTTAGGATCACATCGCTTTCCTACTTGCACAAAGTAGAAGTGTACAAACATGAGGAAGAATGGTCTTTAACATTGGTGAAGAGGGTGTGGATGATAACCTAGAT